AATGAAAAGAAATTATGTAAGAGGCTCACCATAAAAGATTAGTAATGATTTATAATCTTTATAAATCTTTGTATTAGTAAAGATTTATAATCTTTATAATAGGTTCCGTGGCAGGATCTTCATTAATTTGTGCATAAAGAATGCTTCTCTTCATCAGAAGTTAGAAAGTGCAGGTCAGGGGGTTCAGCTCATGGAGAGGGTGATATATTATAGTACATTGTGCATGAGCCTGCAGATCTCTTCCTGACGGATTTCAGATGTATCATCTGAGGATATTTCAGACATCTTTGCAAAGCTCCCCTCAATCCCATTTTCAGGCTTGTATGTGTGGGGACCAGAGCATGCACATGAGGCACACAACACATCTCTACCTCCACTACGCCCCTGCCAGCACTGACTCACCTCTGCCTGACGAAGGCAAGAACACAGTCTCAGAAGGAACTGGGTCTCACAAGGAGCATCGCTACACGGGGCTAAATTTCCTCACCTTCCTGCTCCTCAAACTAATGGCACTGGGTCATGGAAAGAAATTACTTCATGGTATCAACCAGGTTCACCTTAGGTGCTACAATGCAACAGGAAATTGAGCAATTTCAAAGTGGAAAATACACTGGGATGACTCAGTCATTGGAAAGATCATCCTGCAGGTCAGCACCTTATGCTCTGAAATTCTCCTTGCTATTATCAGTGATTCACACCAAACAAAAATCTAACAAATAAACAAAGAAGAAACAGAAAATCTTATCAGAACCATGACAATGCCAACCTCCAGGGTGGACTTGTCCTGCCCTGACTTGTTCAAAGATGAGCCCTTCAGGACATACCCCGACCAATGCAGAAGGTCCCTGTGCAGCAGCACCCTCAGCAGGAGGAGGACCGTGCCCTGCGAGGCCAATCCCACAAAGATCCAGCCCAGGAACTGCATCTCAAAGGGGCTCACATAGGAATCAACGCCAAAGCTGTGGGTCAGGTCATATTTGATTTGATTATAGCACAGTTCTATCAGCCCTTGGCCAAGGCAGAACTGGAGGAAAATCGTGAAGACCCACTTCAGGGTGTCATAGATGTTCTGCAAATTCTGCAGAGAAGAAAGAAAAAAAATCAAATCTATTTCCTGTCAACAACAAATACAGGTGACCTCTCTGCCTCCTTGCTAGAGCCACGTTCTAGGTCTTCCAGGCCCAGTTACTCAGTGACCCCCCTCAGACAGCCGTCCAGCTGGAGAGTGTTATTCCTGAGACTGAGAAGCTAATGGCATTGCCCTCGCTAGGTTTTACTTCCTGGGACCCGTCACTCCTTTCTTCCTTTCTGCCCTTCTGGAATGGGAGTGTGTGTGCTATGGATGCCCTATCTTTGTATTTGGAAGCACACAGGCCCACAGCTGGGGACAAACTGGCCTCAGGATGCACCTCTGAGTGTCACTCCCAGAGGCCAAATGACAGGGACAGAACATTCGCATTCTCAGGGGACTCTTATTTGAAAGCTGCTGTCCCGAGGTGACAGTCCTGGGAGGTGGGCCATCTGAGAGGTTGTTAGGGTAGATGAAGTCGTAGTGGTGGAGCCCATGATGAAATTCCTGCACTTAGGAGACGAGGAAGAGACCCAAGCTCTCTCTATGTCCCCACTGTGCGAGGACACAGTGACAGAGCCGCCATCTGCAAGCTCCTAAGGAGACTTGGGAAGACTCACATCTAACACCACCATGGTCTTGGACTCCTCCACCTCCCAAGCTGTAGAAATACGTATCTTTTCCTTATGCCTCACCTCATGAGGCTTTTGTGGTTTGTTTTGTTTCACCATCCTGAGCAAACTAAGACATCAGTGCTCATAAGTGACGTGACTGAGACGTAAGCAGGTCACACTGGGCACTGGGACTGTGAGCTACTCCACAGCACGCACACCTGATTCATTCTCCTTTAGCACACAACAGACAGTAAATATATATAGTGCTTGCCCCTAAGCACGGAAATGCACGGTGTCACAGAACCAACCATCAGCAGCAGGGGAACACAAAGAGAATTCTAGAAAAAGTAAAAATGTAGGATACACTGTAGAGTTGCACTCAACTTTTAAATTGGATCCATCTAAAAATTCAATGACTCCTGTAACCTCTATGACTGTCCCTACCTCCTGACACGCATGCCTCTTACCTTCTGAGACTGATTACAAGGGTCAGCAGTTGTCCACTAAACATTTTTGACAAATCACTGGGTGTCACCAGCTCTGCTCCCTTAACTGCATTTCAGTGTTTCAATAAATATACACGGCTCCCAAAGGTGAGCCCAAGTACCAGCGAGGAAACATGGTCAGTGACAGATGTGTGCCCAATATGTGCATGCCAGCCCGGCAGGAAGGGGCTTGTTTCTCACCTTGGGGTCACAGCACAGTCTTTCTGGCAAGAAATACGGCCTGGGGAGAAAACCTGCCCAAATGCTAGTCCACTGAGCTGATCTTTACCCTCAGACAGCTGCTTTAAAGCACGTAACCCAGAAAGGGCACATTAACTAGCACTACCAAGCCAGCCCTGGCAATACAACCAAAAATCGAGACTTGCATTATTTCACAGTCTTTTGCTCTTTGCAGTCAAACCATGTAACTGTTCCTAACATATAACCATATTTTATGAGGCAGCAAAAATCACCATCCCGTGTATTTAGAGCGCAGAACAGTGTCACACCAGGAACATTAAACCCCCAACCTACAGGATTGTCAATTTTTTTATTTCATACTACACAGAGTATGCTTTTCCTTATGATACAGACTTACAACACGGCTCAGTCAGGAAATGTGGTTGGGGGCAGCAGAAGATGCAGTAGTAACCTTTAGACTATTTATTGATCTAAGATCATTTATTGTCTAATATATAAATAAACCGAGAAAGTATAAAAGCTTCACTTAATCCTTTCTCAGTTTTTTTTTTCAGTGCAACTAGTTATAAATTTCAATCAGTCCTAGGAGATTCATGAATTCCATTTTTTGTGAACCTATATTCCTGCATTGATGAATGACCCACAATAAAGGAGCTCCTATTATTAGTGATAATGGAGGAGCTGCACAACTCTGCGGCTCTCAGCAGGAATTGTAATTAAGGCGGTGACATAGGAAGAGGGACGGCTTTGTCCCTCATCTTCAGGGTCCTGCGATGGTCCCCAGGCAAGGGTGGAGACAAGTGCCTGCAGGACCGAGTTAGTAAGGAAACCACCCACACAGGTAAGGCAGCTGCACCGTTCAGCTGACCCCCGAGGTTTCGTATACATCAGCTGTCCTGGGTCTGATCCCGGGTCACCATGATTCCTGGCGTCTCTGAGGGCCCTATACTATCAGATGGTGAAGGAGATGGAGGGAACCATGGGTGCTTCCGGGATTTTAATATTCTCCTGGAGCTAAAGTCAGTGAGTTGTTCTGCGAGCTTACTATTTAAAGGCCAGACATACGGATACAGACGTACAGACAAACCAGATCTGTAAAAGTCATTGATAGAGATCAGCCCCTCATTGACCTGCATAATAGGTATTTACATACTTCACTGCTTTACCAAACAAGAGGCACCATAATATTCCCTATCCACTAAGTCTACAAGGCCTCTGAAATCATCGTTAGGGGTGAAGCCACCTGGATTAGGGAGGGACCAGTCCTTGCCTTGTTGGCAATGGGCCCAGCACTGAGGGCCTCCCCAGGAACACTGTACCTCCCAGGTATGTTCTCAGCTTTGTGTCAGACACCTGGACCCTGTGGGTCCCCACATGTGCTCACAGCCAAATACCAAGGCACCCTGCCCCTCCCCAAGCTGGGCTCTTGCTAGGGCAAGCAGAAACACTGAATGACACCCAGGGTTTGGAGGCAGATTTATGTAGCATCAGACAGGCATTGATTAGGAATCAGTTCATCAAAATGTCAGCCCTCGAAGGCCCAGGGAGGGCGGTCTGCATGCGTTGCAAAGGCGTGGGGGTCACAGAGGTAGAGTACTTGGCTGTCTCTGACCTGTTCTTATAATTTGCATCACAGTGACCACCTGTTTCTAGGAGCCAGAAGCTACTGGAACTACCACCTAGGCAACTGAAATATACTGCTGGGTTTGTGGGGAGAGTTTTGTGCAACATTCTCAGTAGAACACTGGCCCTCCCCCAGGTGTGCTCAAGTCAAACACCTGGCCACCCTGCCCCTGCCCCAGAGATGTTCTAGATCCTCCATCAGGCAAACACCTGGGTACCATGAGGAATCTGAACACAAACGGACTGCAGAGAAGAGACAGCAGGAACGGGAAGGGCCAAGGGGCGTGCAGACTCTAAAGTCTTCTCGCACAGCTGCCTAGTAGGTGTCCAGGCTGGCTGCAAGCAGGGGTCAAGAGGGAGGCACCAGTGGGGAGCTGATAGCTTGAGGGGGCCCGGGATCTGCAGGGAGCACCCAGCCTGACCTCCACGCCTAGTGGGGCAGCTCCTAAGTGACCAGTCAAGTGAACAGAGGCACTGGCTCACAGGGAAAATGCTGCCCGGCCACATACCCTACACTTAGGACAGCCCTTTGCTCCAACATGTGAGAAGCAGTAAAATAAAATTAGGTCTAGAAGAGTACAGGATCTTCAGGTTGTCCTCCGGACTGAGCTTGCAGTCATTGACCATGACCCGTCCTGCCTTCCAATGCCCGACAAGATGCAGCACTTTGAAGGTACATTTTTCACTGCATTCTCTCTCTGGCCAGTCCTCCATAAAGCTATCCCTGGGTAAGATGCCAGGGATGTGACTGTGAATGCCGTGGTGACACAGCCCTGGCTCAGGAACAACTCTGTGTCCTTCTGTCAACCATCACTGCACAGGAGCGTGGCCTCTGTGATGCTGCAGGTTTGTCAGTGAGAATTGCTTTCTCTTTCTGGAGTTTAATGACGGTGGAAACTGGCACATGGCCACTGATTTCCAGTTGCAAAAGCAGCAACACTTCCAAGGCCCCCAGTCCCTGTCCTTCATGCCCTTGGAGCAGGGCGGGGGATGCTATGGACAACTGACCTGGGCTTTGGAGATGATGGCCAGCAGCCGTGGCATGATGGTCATCAGCAGGGTGCAGATTCCAAAGATGAAGTTCAGGAAGACGTAGGAGATGAAGGCCATGTCAGCACTGGGGAAGACTCCAGACAGCAGATATATCCACAGGAGCGTTGCATATCTGAAAAGCACGGAGAAAAGCGGAGTCTTTGCTGTGACAGTTGTCTGGTGACTGAGCTTAGAGGCAGTTCTATTGGCCTGGTGATTCCTGCTCCTGCCTCTAGGGTCTTCCATGGATACAGCACTGCTCCGGGGCTTCTGTGGATGCCATGATGCAATTGGAAGCAGGGCCCCCTAGCTGCTTCCCAGGTCAAGCTCCTGCCCCTCACACCTCCTCTCCTCCCAAGGGGCACCACTCCCTGGGGCCTCTCAACAGCCCAAGCTCCATCCCTATAAGTTACAGTGAGAGCAGAAGGAAAGCAGCACAGAAAGCTGCAGAGCACTACCTTAAAATAAGCACAAAAACCAAAATGCAGAGCTGTGTGTTCAGTCTGCTGCATGTCAGGTCCTGGGTGGTTACCACTGCTGTATCCCTATTGCCCTCATGTGCCTGGATACCGCATGTCTGCCTGATGAAGCAAACCAGCACCTCAGTGGAGCTTGCACAGCTCTCCCCAAGGGCGGTTGAGCATGGGAGCCCTCCCTGTGGCCCCCACACCAAGCAGGAAGGACACAGCTGGGTACTCAGAGGACACTGGGACCTAACAAACCACCCAAGCTCTCCAGGAGGAAACCTCCTGCTTTCCTGTCTTCGCAGCCTACAGCCAGGCTTTATTCTGGCCAATTCCTCCTGCCACAGTAAAACGAGATCATCTCCATGCACACCACTAACAGAAGCTGGAATTTGGAATTGCTTTTCCCAGCACCAGTGGAGAAGTCTCCTATTCGTGTACGCTTCCAGGACCTGAACCCAGAGCCTATGTTCTGACCTCATCCCCAGCCCTTTTATTTTCTATTTTGAGGTAAAACTCTCTAAGTTTCTAAGTCTGAGCACAGGCTTGGCTCAAACTTGCAGTCCTCCTGCCTCAGCCTCCCTCAGCCTTCTGGACTACAGGTGTGAACTGCCATGCCTAGCTAGAAGTCACCTATTTTAATAGAAGACAGGTAGCAGGAAATGGTGAGATGAATTTTATGGAAAGCCAAAGACCATCAGGGGTGGGGAGAGATATGAAGGAGAAAAAGAGAAGGGAAACTAAAGGGTCAACACGTGGTGTTGTATATGCCTCAATTTACCATGATGTGTTTAGTATGTGTCACAGACATGAATGCACAGTTTGTTAAATAAAATACAAAACGAAAAATCACAGCGGCTCCCATCAGAGCCATCTAGCAGGCATGCTTACAGAACTCTCTGCGCTCTCCAGGTATAGGGTCACTGTTTCCTTCCAGTGATGAATTGTTTAACCTGCAACACTTCAGTGCCTCCTAAATGCCTGAGGTTGTTTTAATATGCTAACTAGCTCTGAAAATTATTAAGTTTCAAACGTTGTCAGAGGTGCCAGGGCCCTGGATAGTCATCATTTTCTCATGCTTCCCTTTGCATACGAAATCCAAGAGTGGAACGCAGGGCGAGGTGAACAGACACAGCTCTCCTGCTGTGGAAAACATACGGGACACCACACATAAAATCATGGGGTCTCAGAAGCTTCTCTCATGCTGTGATTGCTGGGGCACGAGGAAAACCATTTCAGAGCCTATAATGGAGACAGGCCCTTGAAAGTCACTATTACTAAACAGGATCTGTGCAAAATCATTAGATCAAAGTAACGAACTGAGTGCCAAGTCACAGCTGCTGGACGTTTAAGCTGTCAATACCTAAGTGGAAAATGAAGCACAGAGAAGACCCACAGCCCACCAGGCTCACACACACAGCACTCCACTCTCTGCCTTCCCTTTGCAGGCAAAAAGCAGGGGCTGCCCTGTGTCACGGGGCTTCCTTGAGAAGCAAGTGAAACCTCAGCAATTGTGCAAGTGAAATGCAAGCCGTGGTGCAGGCTGCTGACCGATCTGTAAAATTAACTGGTTAGTTGATTGCAGAGCTGAGCACTGAACTCAAGACCTTAGCCTGAGCTGATCACCACCCTTCTTGGCTCTTATTTTGAGATATGGTCTTGCTAGTGGCTAAACTCCCCAAATTGAGATTAAACTTGGAATCCTCCTGCTTCAGCCTCCCAGACTGCTGAGACTACAACCCCTTGGCACCGGGGTCCACCCTGAGGACCAATCAGGGGGCTGGCTTTAATCACTATACAACTCTCTGGGGATGGAACAAAAAAGTTCTCTAGCAACACTGCCGACTCAAACTCTGTGTCCTGGAATGACACGTAACAAACTGCTTTTCTCTCCCACCACACAGAATTTATAACAGTCCACTAATGCAGCCAATTTGGTCCTCCACAGAGAAGACGGGGTCTGCCTTTGTTCTTTGTAAAATATGGTACCCAGTGGCTCTCTCTTGTCCACCTGGTGACACCAGGGCTGGGGTCACTTGGGGTGCAGCAACTCACAGTGTCTGATGTGGTTGACGGTGGACAAAGCACAGGGGACTGTGCCCTCCATTGATGGGCACCTGAGGGCCCAGCAGGGGCCAGCACAGATGCTCCACTCCTGCCCGCAGGCTGAAGGCCCCAAACTGTCCAGTACCTCCCTGCTGTCCAGCACCTCCCTGATGCAGGGGTCTGCTCAGAATCAGCATTTTGTCACCCTTTACCTAACATTCCCATCCTGGGTCATACCCTGTAAAATACCTAACAAGCAGATCAAAGCATCCTCTGAGGAAAAAGCATCCTCAAAGGAAGACACAGGCCTCAGTGAGGCCCTGGAGGCTGCTGTCACGGCATTGGTGACAGTCTCAGTGTGGCTTCCGACCAGCCCAGATTCTACCTCAAAACTTTTTAACTACATTTGCATGAGTTACCTTTCAAATGCGTGGTAGAAATGAACATATTAGTGAAGCCAGCCCCCATCTTTTTCTGGTTTTGAGGAAAGAAATATTAAGTTGACTTACAGAGCATAATCTATTGTCTGGTGAAGCCAACCATGGCTCCTACTGCCATGGTTTTATTAAAATATGGTGTAGAGTTTTCATGGTTTCAGAATCTGGTGGGGATGGGTACACTGTTCACAAGTATTCTGCATTCCTGTGCCCCTTTTCCTGCAGTGTGTGAATTTCCCAAGACACCAAATAAAGCACAGTGACCTCATCTTCACAACAGGTCAGCACTAAACACACACCAGGCTCCTCCCGAAGGCTCCGATTTTTCAGACAAGCAGGACCAACTTTCCTTCCCGACACTGCTAGGTGTTAGTTTCTTCATTTGATTCAAACACTGTCTATGCCTCCCTTTACAGTCTAAATACCAAGTTATCCTTGACAGCGAACACACTACTGGGCATTTCTGTTATCTTCTCTGAGCATCCACCCATGTATCCCTTCCATGTTCCCTCCGGTTCCAGCTCATTAAAGGGCCCTGCTCAGTGCCCGTCTCATCTCACTTCCCGTCCTGGAACTTCTTCTGGTTCCTGGGACCTGCAGGTCCTGTGGACACAGGGAGAGGAAGCCAGCTCCTCATGGTCACCTATGGAAAGGCTGGCCTTCCCTCCGCTCAGGGTGACCATCACGCTTCCAGCTAAGCCCATGGCTGTTCCAATGACAAAGTAACGAACTCTTAAATCCAGTGACTCCATGGTCTCTGTTCACCCTCTGACCGCCTCTGGACTCTTTCCTCAGACCAGCCCTGACTACAGTCTCGGTCTGGGTTACCTTCGACACTTTCTCTATCCTTGTCACTCAGAATCCTCAGGAGGAAGTGTGTGACCTGTCGGCCTGCAATAGCACAGCAATGCATCGTGATCCTCCTGAAATCCTTTGGAAAATGCAGTTACGTACACAGCGAGGATTCCCAGGGGGATGCAAATTCTTAAAGGGCTTTGCCATCGAGTCACGGTTCATGAAGATGTCTAAAATCTTGTTATTTAGGTTTCCAACCATTTGAAGTCAAGGTTTTATCACAGTTTGTGAAGTTTCCTTCCCACATTTTAATAGTATCTTTAGAGAGCCGTCTGTTCTCCACACACTGCGAGGAGACAGAGCATTGACATCGGCCTGGAGACCTGGGCATTCACCAGCACAGACCTTTACATAAGGGCTTGTCAGCTTTTAAGACAGTATATAAGTATGGGTATGTGTACTGTGTGTTTTTTACAGCTGAGGACATGCTATGTACTACGGAGTAAAAGAATTCTAAAATAACAATTATAAAATTAAATTTACCAGACTGTTAAGTCACTTCCACTAAATTTGTATCAATGACCTAACTGAATCTTTACAGCAACAGAAACTGTCTATAGAGAAGAACCCGAGGCTGAGAGAGAGGAAATAACGTTTTCAAGGCCACACAGAAATATCGTCATAATCAGCAATATCACAACTAATCAAAATGGTACTTTTCCTGGGTTCCTACCTGCCTTTCCACCCATTCATCCTTCCATCCATCCATCTCAGTATAATGTGTATTTTAATTAAACCCCTGTAACCTAGTTAGATGCTTTGAATGATCCCAGGTCACTGGTAGAACACAAAATATGTAAATGTCATTTTAGCTGTCATTTTTGGTTGACAACTGGAGGTTTTATTTCACAATGAGGCTTGAGTCCTACTAAGTCAGTATAGTATGCTCTGTGCTCTGACAAAGTGGCCTCTGGAGACCTGAAGCCACCCACGTGAGACACACCCAGTCCCTAGGCTCAGCAGGCACAGCTCCGGGACTGCTAGCCAGGACCATGGAGAGACATAGATGAGAAACTAACTCCAGGACTCTCTGCATTAGGCATTTCTTCCCAGAGAATAATGTGACAGTGTCAGACCAAACTCCTAATCCTCCAGGAGAGAGAAAAGAGGCCAATGGCATGGCACACCCTTGAGGCTCTGTCCAGACACGGTTCCAGAGTTAACCACACTGCATGTTAGAGGCCACAGCTACAGCACAGTGACCAGGAACCACTTCCCCTTGCAGGCCTGCCAAGCAGCCCCCAGCCTCACTGTGACAGGGCCAGGGCCCAGCCTGCAAGGTCTCCTAATACTGTCGGCCTCCCTCCCCACCCCAGGGCCATACATCACCT